AATGTAGAAGTAACTACAGTACGCTAGTATTTCATATTTTGCATTACATAGATAGCCATTTGAACGCCTCGAATCTTTACACTTTCAGGTACAAGATGGAATCTACATACCACGGAAATACATGCATATATTATTGGACAACGAGTGTGGCCCGGTATATGAAATTTTCGTATAGTTTCCGTGTAAGAACTTTGTGTGGCCAAATTGTCCTTATTCGTCTAATCTATACGTGCAGGATGTTGTAATGTGATTTATCCTTCACTCAGTGAAGGAACTTTATTCGGATATGAAGAAGTACTACGACAGTCGAGAAGAATTAGGCCAGTTTACAATTACAAAACCAGCCACTACTGTTGAGTTTGTCACGATGTTGGGGGCTTTGAAACCTTTTGGATACAGAGGAGACAGACAGTTGTACTACCTCAATCCTGCTCCTGGGAGTCAGCCATCAACTGGGTTAGTACAGATTGACGGACAAGAAGAGGTAAATGAATTGGTGCTTGCTCATGAAAAAGAGGGGACTAAAATTTGTCATCTGTACCTAGTGAAAGGATGTAACGACGATTTGCACGGCGTGAGTATTGGTTCGTCTCCACAAAAAAAAACTACTTCATACAATCATATATGTATAACATGACAGCAACTTAATGCAGGACATGTCGGACATGGAAACAGACTACAATGAGGAAGAAGAACAAGGCTACTATGATGAAGAAGAACAACGTTGACTCCATTATTAAGCAAACAATAATGAATGGTATCTGGAAAAGAAGAAGAAGAAGATGGGCTTTCACTGAGTGCAGACTTGTTTTCATTTTTTTTTTGGAGACGTTGCAGACTTGTTTTCATGAACCTGCCTGCCTGTGTTAGTTGCGTTGTTGGGTCATGCACTATCTTGTTGCATTCATGATTAGGCATCCTTGTGTCAATGAAGAAAGTAATAAGAATGTGTAAATGCAGGATTCCATATGAATATGAATATGGTGTAGGTTTTGTTAGCTAGCGTTCAATTTTATACGTTACTGGTTACTGCACTGCACATAACGCTTAACAGCAATATACTTTGAGGTGCAGGCTTTCGTTGAGAAGAAGTATGGTGGAATGGTGCCTAAGAAGCCTCTGTTTTCAAAGGTATTACTATCTACTGCTGGGCGGACCAACCTTAAACATGCAGTACCGATGAGCATGGAACGAATTTGCTTATAGTAGTATAGCATCTGATGATTCTTTTTTTATTTGGTGGTTTTCTTGTGCAGGATCAGGAGCGCGCCTATTTCGATTCTGCGGACTGGGTCCTTGGCAAGGTATCCAATCCTTCTCATCCATCCAGGAATAAATAAATGAGCATCTCTGCCTCTGCAAGTTTCTTGTATGCTACAGGCCCATAGATGGGCTACAGCATGCACAGATGCTACCTAGCTGTTCTCTGAACTGATGAAACCTTTGCTTTCTGATGGAAATGCTTTGCTTCAGCAAGCTGCAAACAGCGGCAACGCACGGGCTGCTACTGCTATCGAATCCTTGAAGCCAAAGCTAAAGGTGAGTAGCTAGCCTGCAGTGATTTTCGCTCAGCTGCACTGCACTGCACGTTTTATCAATACAAGTTGCATGCATTGTGGTGAAAGCGAGATGTTTGTTGCTTGCAGAGGACGCCCCATCACTAGCTTCCCCCTCGCAAGCCGACCTGTGCTTCCAGCTGAGCTGAAGACGCGCGGAAAATTAAAGGTGCCTGAAATTGCAGTCTCTGAAACTTGCACCTTGTGAGTTCTGAGGATGCTTCAATTTAATTGTGTTCTTTATTTCTTTTGGATGGATGATGCAGGGCCAGGGCTTACAAAACTTCCCTAGCTCTGGCTGGGAGAGATGATGAAGAGATGGAGTCGCTGGGATTACTAGTTATTTAGTTGGTTGGACAATTGCATTGGTTAGGGGAAATTCGGGATTGAGCCCTGCAATTAGGGGAAATTTAAGCCTGTGGGGTTATAGATAGACTAGATATTGCTAGTAGTATATGCTTATTTGTGGAAGTGGTAGTTGCCATCATCTGTTTCAAAGTATCTTGGGTGGGCAGATGAAATGTATCCTCTCTTGGCTTCTCCGTTTGTTTACTACATCTCATATATATATTCAGCAAAAACAAGAGAATGTATGAATGAATATTCCAAGTTGGGATGACAATGTGAAATCCTTTTGGAGGAGCTGAGAATGATAGGTATATACTGATGGAAAAAGTCTATTCTACCGACTGAATTGACGTCGTAGTCTGATTTAGCGGAAAACCTGAATCTCAGCCTTCTGGTGTTGGATTACAGACGTGCTCCTCTAATCAGAATGTTCAGTGTAATAAGAAATTTCCATGTGATTGGTTTGGTGTGCGTGCCTCTAAAAAGGAGGAGCAAATTTGTGTTTAACTGGTATGTCTGGACCAAGTCTTTTGATTTGATCTGCTTGGAACTGCCGGCTGGATGATGGTGTGACAGCTGTGTTTGTTTGGATGCTGTGACTGTGTGTGGAGGCTGCTGGATGAGGCCATACGTGGTTTTAAGAACAGGTCTCACGGCGTCCTACTGCTACTTTACCTAATCTTGACCGCGGTCGTCCTCATACTTGTACTTTAACGTGACCTCCGTTGCTGCGAAGACCAAAGACCTTAGCACTACCACAATCCTGAATTACCTTGAGTGCTAAAAATTTTCTTGAGTGCCAAAACAAAACCGCCAAGAAAAGAATACATAGTTTCCTTGGCGGTGCTACTAAACTCTGAATTGAGTCCGTGAATCAGATTTGCTAGTTTAATAAAGACCAGATGACTTAACTGTTTCAACAAGTGCTGTGCTGTTGCAGACTTGCAGTTGGATTGGGACACGCTTCCAGCTTGGGGATCCTCTCCAGCTCAGGTTCTACCTCTCCATATTCATTTCGAGTAGATTTTACAAACACATTCATTTTGGATTCATGACACAGAAAATGGAGTTACGCTTACCCATCACGGGTAGATTATCAAACAGAAATCATGGTTACAACTTGACTTGTGTCGATTCAGCAGGCAGATCAGTAAGCTCCTTACCTCTCTATCATACAGCAAAATCAGAAATCAACGCTTACAGGACCTGATGCTCCGCTAAACGTGTCCAGAACAAAGCCAAAACAGAAAAGAGAAGCTAGTAGCCTTGAGCGTGTAAGCGTATGGGTCAAAACTGGAGACATGGTCCTCAGCTCCATCCAATCATCCCTGGCACGTGCGTTCATCACGTATGTGGAACATAAGCTGTAATGATGTCACCAGCTATCAGTAAAAGGGGGCACAAATGGTGAACGAAATTGATTAGTGAGCGATCACCTTAACACCCACGTAGAAGGTAGTAAATATGAAGGCAAGGGCAGGCATGGCTGCAAAATGGGAACGTGTATCAACCACAAAGGCCACTAGACCATGTACATCTGAATGAAATTCATCGCAACTTATGGGTGTGAAATTGCAACTCACCATCCTTCCCAATCATTTTTGAGATCAGAAGTTTAATCCCAGATGGTCCCACAACATAACCGACAAGGTTTGCCACCTGTGCACCAAACATCTCAGAAATAGCATTGACATGTAACAATGTATGAATGGCTGATCTGATGTACAGCTGGATTTCCTTTATGCCCGCCATTGTCCAAATGATCATGGCACATTGGAATTTTCCATTAAATATTACATGAATGATTTCATGAAGTCTCTTAGTATTTTCTTGGTTATGTATTGTTCAATATCTTCGATTCTTTTACTGCTACTAGGAGATCAGGTAATAATTGCATGCATTCTTTTAGCTGCGCATGCAGAAACAGATATATGAGATGTTGATTGTCACAGCACCATCAATTGCTTTAAATTCACTATGAACAAGGATCCCAAGGGTACTACTTGCCTCCAAAAAAATTGAATAATGTCCACAAGGGACACGGCGGTCAATCTCCACAACAGACTCGCCAACCTGCAAGTGGGGGATAGAACATGCAAATCATGAATCCATCAGTGACACAAATAGGATGTCAAAACAGTGTAAGAAATTGACAAACACAGTGACTTCAATATGCAATGCGTATTAGTACAATATAAGGGGTAATGACTATTGAAACGTCCACACTTGCAAGAAGTGCATGAAAATCCTGGGCAAAAGTGACAACTTTACATAGGTAGGCAAATTCAAGGCGCTGATGAATGTCCCTGAAACATCAGCTAAAAGTGGACCGCGCTGATTAATCAACTACATCGACAAACTTGTCCAGAGGTTATGTGTGTTAGTAGTGTTTACACCAATTTAGTATAGTTCCTAATAAAACTGACCAGAAAAGAGTGCTTGTAATCTACAAGCAATAAGCCTCAAATCTTGGCTAAACAAATTTTGTTTGGTTCATCAATCATGCTTGATGCTTCTGCCTTGCAAAATCCCAATTTGCTACTCTAGTTGTCAAACTAATCGTACCATGATACCAATGTCTTGAGACTTACAGTTTATGTAACATCAAGAACATGTTTCTAGCAACAGGCCAATTAATATCATCCAGAATAACCTATCCAAACCCTTAACCACAAGGCCAAATTGACAAGATTTCAACTAAAAAATGATACCAATGCCTTAGCAATTAAACCTTTTGAGACTGACAGTATACGTGACAACAAGAACATATTTCTAGCAACAGGTCAATTGATAGCATGTCAATTTGCAAAGATGATGGAAAATCATAAGTTGTTCACCAGCGTACCTATAAACAATAGGCAACAACAAACTCATCATTGGCAAATCATATATCAAGCACATCTTCAGGGAGCTTTGATTCCTACAAATGTAGAGGACAAACATCAGTCATAACTACACATGTCTCGCAGATGGCCTATTTTCAACTTAGATGAACTACCTCTTTTCTCATCGAGCATGTTCGCCGATTGTAACCTATCCAAACCCTTAACCACAGGCTACATTTGACCTTAGATTTCTTCTTATTTGAAATTGACTTCAAATTTTTCTTCGGGCCCCTCTTCCAGGCACATGCAAGGGATCCAACACATTACTGAACGCTACAGAATCAACATCTGGGGCTTGTGGTAGCACCGGACCATACCTCATGCCTCTGTTATCTCCTTCATTTGGTAGGTTCATAGCAGCTTCATCCTGCAGAACGTGTTTCAGCCGCTCATATGGTTCAAGTGAACGAGATGCTACGAAGGCTGCAACGTGACTGATATTGCGTAGCTCACGGTGCCTTTGTAGGCTTTCAGAATAGTCATACATGGTGCTCTTCCTTTTCAGAGGAAATGCACTCTTCGCCCCCATTGTCCACCTTTTCAAAACACAACAGTCTGGAAGCTTGTCTTCATCCAGATCGCCCAATACAAAGAAGATGTGTGAGCAGGGGGTTCCAATCGATTATAACTTACCACAAGAACAAGAAATTCCCTTCAGATTGTCTTCATCACAAAATTGACATTTGACATAGTACATCATGTCTCCTTTATCCTTCCTGCCAACAATATACTCACTCATATTATCGCCATCTAGAATGTCAATCAAAAAACACTTCTTGGCTGCCTTTATGCTGAACTGCACCGTGGCGGAAACTGTTGGAGTGAACGATTTCACGGCTTTTATCTCAATAATTGAAGCATCTAGTTCTGTGCATGCCTCAGATTGCAATGCATTAGTGTCCAACTTTGCTTCATTTTACGATGTCAAGCAGTGTCATTTTACGATCTAGACACATATGAAGCCTAGAGTTTAGGCTCTCACTCCGTTGGTTGCTCCTCAGTCCTAAGTAGCACTTACCAGCATGATACGAAGCACACCAGATTTCCCTCATATCATACATACCATGACTCCTTATTTGTAACCTTATGCTTATCCAAAAATTCCTGCCATTTTCTTTCAGTCTCTTCTATGGATCAACAATCATAAAGGAAACTCCTGAATTCATCCTTGACAACATCATCCTTAAGATTACGCATAATGTTCTGCTCAATATGCCATATGCAGAGCCTATGCGATGAATTCAGCCACACCAGCCTGATTGCTCTCTACATAGCAAGGTCTCCATCAGTGATCACGGAGACCGGATGCTTCTGAATCATGGCCTCGGAAAATGTACTCAGCAACCACACATATGACTCAATATTCTCATGAGAAATAATTCCACATCCAAAAATAACTGTGCTTTGATGGTGATTCACCCCAACAAAAGGAACAAGGGGTAGGTTGTACCGATTAGTTTTGTAGGTGCTATCAAATACAAGGACATCACCAAATGCTTCATAATCAAGCATACATTGACTATCACACCAGAATAGTCCCTTCAGGTGTCCTTCCCCATCAACCATGTACTTGAAAAAGAAATTAGGATCTCTGCGCTGAAGTTCCGTCAGGTAATTGATGACTGTTTGAGCGTCATCGGCAGCAATTGTCTCCGCCTTATAGCGATGGCAAAAATTATACAAGTCCCTTGTTGTACACCCAACCTTATCATACCCACCATACTACATTTCTAAAATATCCATTATCTTGTGTTTGCGGATCCCAGAACTCTCCATCTCCACGATCTCAGCTTTCTGCTCATCGCTGATTCTTCTATGTGAACGTAGCAGACAAGTAAGCTCTGCTGGTGCCATCGGATGGTTGTGTTCATCGATGAAATCCTTCACATACCACTGCCATGTGATCTGATCTCGTGCAATCACAAATTTAGCAAGGCATCCAACACGGGTAATATTCCACGCTTCTTAATCGCCCTCTTCAGCTGCTTCTCTTCATGGAAACCTTGACGACTGCAAATGAACTTCCGAAGAGTTATCTCATTGTGGCCATTGTCCCACTCACAATAGCTTCTCCTCACACTAAATCCTTTCTCAAAACCGTAGTTGTTATAGAACTGAAATCCTTCTTCTTCATTAGCAAGCATCTTCTTGACAAATTCATTGTACTCCAGCAAAGACTCAAGATCTGACATTTCCTCCTATATCCATCAACAACATTAAACAAATTAAAATTCCACATAACAAATTTAAGAGTTCAGAAACCTGAATAGCACCACACAAGGACAAGTTTAAGGACTGCCCTTGTAAAACAGTGGAGTGAGCTCAAAGAAAGTAAAGAGGAAGGCTAAGCAGGTTGATGAATGGGGCTGGGCTACAAGGTTTCATGAACCTTCATCAAATTCAGTAAAACAAGACAGTAGTCTGCTACTAGGTGCCAATACTGGAGTGTAGCTAAATTCCTCTGACATCAAAGTGCTCACAGAAGATGACATTTCAACATCAATTCTCCAGAGCCTCCTAGTGTAAATTAACATCTACAAGACTACAACAACCCATCTGTTGGTAAAACAGCCACTCAGCTTACCCAGTCAGCTAAATAATCACTATATACTATGCTTGTACCCACAATGCACCCTGATCTAACTTTGATAGGCAATTACTGTAACTCCTACAATTCAAAGATGTGGACTACTTACTAGATGCTACAACTCTCTTATAACCATCACCAAATTGACTACAGAGCATCCACCACACCCTAGTGAGAGCTGTTTATTCAGGCATCCTTTCGAAAAAACAAAACTGTTAATGACCACAATGTGCTCCCAAAGAAGTATACAATCCAACAGCCACTTTAAGGAGGAAGCAGAATCATCAGGTGGCTTTTCATAGAAGAATATATATATATTCTGCTTCCATGTCCTTAAAGTGGCTGTTGGATTGTATATATATATATATATATATATATATATATATATATATATATTGTGGTAATAACATAATATTGAACTACAGTATCAGTCACAGGCCACTCAAAACTTGTCACACTCCACATTCAATGGCCAGTATCCGAAACATAACACCCACAAACCAGAAAACTCAATTTGGGCAGCAAAATCTGAGAGCTCTAATTTTTTCCTTAAAACCAAGTTACTAAAACATCCAAAACTAGATAAAAACTACTCAGCAGGAAGTACATCATGAAACAAGTTTTCCTTCTTCCTGTACCAACCACTTCTTTACAACGGAACACAAGTTCTGATCAGCAGGATCAGCTTGGAGATGCCAGGACAGGCTGACAGAACCTAGTTTTGGATGACTAGGTGAGTCCAACCAGGAACTAGATCGAAAGTTGGAAACAATCATATTCTAGTAAAAAGAGTTTGGAACACAATGCCAGTAAATGTCAATTTATCTACATTAAAATATTAAGCTTCCATGTTTAATTGTGCCATGGTTATTGCATTCTTTTTAGCTGCCAAAGCTGTAGTTAAATTCTAGCTTGTACTTTGAGTAGCGAAGTTGAAGTGTGTGATCCAGAAATCAAAACACCAAGGCACCAAGCAATGCAATTGGTAAGGTTTCTGCTTGGATAAAATGGTGGTGCACTCTTATATATCTATGGACAAATATATGTAACAAATTGCATTCATGAACACATCTTAACAGTAGACTAAATTAAGCACCAAACTGACATAAAACATATTTGAGTTTCCTAAATATAATTTTAAAAAAGTATGGTTCTTCTATTGGGACCAACTAAAAACCTTTAGTAGATGATATTATTCCAACTTAGCATATAGACATAAGGTGCAAAATTTCTTTTGGCTATCAGGCAAAAAGGAGAAACGAATTTTAAATCTCAACAAGAACAATTAGAAGCTCAGATAAATTAGTCAAATACAATAATTTTGTTGGGATTTTCTGACACTGAAATATGACTTATAGCCTATTTGAATAGCAACACATGGAATTGCTAGAGTTTGGTTTTACAGTAATAGATAGAATTCTCTGAAAGAGATAATGAACTTTTACTATATACACACTTTTTCAAGAGATAACTTACTACTAAAGATCACACTCTTTCAGTAAAGCTGCTGCATACAATGGAGCGGCAACAGCAACACCAAAAAATGGCAGCAAGCATAGCTTCTCCAACTGTGGATTTGAGATTGCAGTATAAGACAGCACAACAAAATAACAGCTCCCAAGGACAACAGAGATATTCTGCAGAAGATAAGGAATCAAAACAAAGTTAGCACCCAGCAAGAACTGTGTAATAAAAAAACATAGCAATCTACTACCAAGAATTTGGTGCAAACATAAAAGAGAAAATATTAACTTTGTGCAAAAAGGTACAGTGGAAAGGCAAATTTTACTTTGACTTCATCATTTGAATGTAGTATTGACTTGATACAGATCCTGACCCCCCCTAGAATTCCCTAATTAACAATGTTTTTTAAAAATTGGTGCTAGGAAAGCTAGGATGGTACTAGCTTAAAAAAGAAAGATCGATTTTGTGCAGAAGTTGTACATTCAACTGTCGAATGGTGTGCGTTACAGTCGAATGGTGTATTACTAAAATTGCATTTGGAACAAACCAATTCACTTATTTACAGTGTCTCAAACCTCGCTTGCCGCTAGGAGTGCTAAAAAGGAGGTAAGGATCAAATGGGAGAGGAACAAGGAGGAGACAGGAAAAGAAGACCTGAAATTTTAGATCTGTGATCAACCGTGCCACCCTTGCCGACCTCTCAACCAGCCCAACCTCCGTCGAGTCCGCCCCGACCCCAAGCCGAACGACTGCAATTTCCTTCACCTTCCACAGGCCACACCGACACAGGCTCACAGAGTCATAGTCCACACTCCACGGCAGCGTATTGAACTACAGTATCAGTCACAGGCCACTCAAAACTTGTCACATTTGTGTCCACATTCATTAGCCAGTATCCGAAACATAACACCCACAAACCAGAAAACTCAATTTGGGCAGCAAAATCTGAGGGCGCCAGCATTCTATCAAGTTTGGCGGCCTCGCTCCACGCCCTAAAAATAATGTATCAATAATCCAATACCCCAACCTGCCACACCATTTCCGCATCAAACAACACAGGAAAAAAATTCCCCAGAACAAGGTGACAGGGAGGGGAAACATTGACACAGAAACGCTGGCTACCAAGCCAACTAGCCAATACCCCTACAATGACAGCCCGCAGCACATTCCGATCTGCGCTTCCTCGACCAGGTTTCTAGGAAGGGGAGAGAGCGGGGGAGAAGAGAGGAAGTCACCGAAATGTCGGACTGGAGGTCGTCCACCGTGAGGGCGTCGGTGCTGGAAGCTTTCGTCATGAAGGGGTTTCTGCCGCCGCAGGAGGTGGCGCACTGGAGGGTCCCTGGGAAGGAGGAGTTCCCGCAACCTCGTCCCAACGAGGTGGTTTCTTTCCTTACCTTCCATGAGCACGGATTAGGATACCCCGCGCACTGGTTTCTGCGCGGGCTCCTCAATGAGTGGGGTCTGGAGCTGCAGCACCTCAATCCGACAGGGGTGCTGCACATTGCTGGTTTCATCATCGTCTGCGAGGCTTTCCTTGGGATGGAGCCGCACGTGGATCTCTTCCGGCTCTTCTTCTCCCGGAGGGCTATGATGGCGGGGAATTCGGCCGAGACCGCACCGGTGGGAGGGTTTGCCCTGCAGAAGAAGCCGAGCGCGGGAGGCGTGTATCCCGCGTACTCCCCATGCGACTCCAACCGGGGATGGCATGGGGAGTGGTTTTACATCCGGAATCCGGCGGAGGTGCCGTTTTCGGCGTTCACCAGTGGGAGGCCGGCGAAGCAGAAAAGTTGGTCATGGGGTTGCGCCCGCACGGAGAGGCACAAGGTTGATGTCATTGAGGAGGAGTTGTGGAAGCTCGTAAGGCTCGGCCTCGATGGGGTGAGGGTGTTCCACACCCTCTTCCACCGCCGGGTTGCACCGTTGGCGGAGAGGATGCGACCAATGTGGATGTACGGTGGTCGGTCGGACCCGGACCGTGTGTCGTCGGAGGACCTGTCGAACGATGAGGTCTGGAGTCGCCTTGGCCGGGTGCTGCAGCTGAGGCCTAGGGATACGGTCGCGGGGAAACCCATACCATTTAATGCCTCGGTCGTGTCTAACCTGGTATGATCCTTTATTTTGTTCGTGTTTCTTCCTTTGCTTTTGCTGTTTCTTGATCCCGGGGCATCCGTTTTGTAGGGGCTTGAAAGGTACAAGTCCCGGCCGCACCTTCCTAGGGGACCAGAGGGAAGGGCCCAGCAAGCCGCCCAGAAGGAGGCGGCAGACGCCCAGAAGAAGAAGAGAACCAGGGAGGTTCGGCGGAAGGAAGAGAAGAAGAAGGAGGTCGCCCGGCGCGTGAGGGCCAGGGAACGTAGGAGCGATGTCGAGTTAGAACTCACGTCGGATGATCCTACGGACTTGGATGACATGGTCTTCTCCGATGAGGAGGAGAGTCGGGAGGTCGCCGTGACCTCGGCGGAGCGTCGTGACCCTGTGGCGGCGTTCGCTGGGGAGGAGCAGGAGGCCATGCGGCGTGCGGAAGTTCCTACGTCGAGGAAGCGCGCTGCGAGTGCGGACGTCGTTGGCGAACAGGCGAAGAAAGCGGACGTGGTCACCACGCCCTTCGGTGGCGTCGCCAGTTCCGTCGTCGCCTGTGGCAGACGTGGCCGAGCGAGCCGGGCGGTCCGAGGAGCGAACTGGTACTCGTGTACCGACGGGACCGGTGTCAACGCTTGGCTCACAGCCGGAGGAGGCCCTGCCTGTCGTGGGTGCGATCGAGCAGTCCGAGCGGTCTAAAGAGCAGACTAATGCACGGGCGACGCGTGACTTGCGGTCGGAGGATGCTCCGTCTGCTGCTCCGGTCGGGGAGTCCCGAGCCGGCGGTCGTAGTGACCCACAGGCCGGGCAGGGGCCGATCGGGACGACTCCGTCCCCATCCAAAGTGAGGGGGCATGGGTCGTAGTCTGGGAGCGGCCCTCGTCTCATAGGTCCGTTGTTGTTGGGGCCTGCCTTCAGGGTCGTGCCGCTCACCTCCCGGTATGTTTCCCTTTGCTGCCCTTCGATCTTTTGCCGGTTGAGTCTTTTTGGAGTGTGACCCACCTGTAATTTCTGTCAGCGGCCGAGGGATGCCGGGGTTGAGCACCGCTCCGTCCCCCATGCAGG